TCTATGATAAAATACATGCAGATATATTACGAGATTATATTTAACAAGTTTCGATTTTTGTCGATTTAGATAATTTTTTTATAAAAATACCTTATGTTCTTTTATCAATGATATCGTGATTACATGAATTTAATTAAAAATGTGGATACAAAAAATGAGATAAGTCGAATGGATACCTTTATATTAGCCAGGTATTAATAATTAAAATTTTGGGAAAATGCAGAAAAAAAAGATTGTTAAGTTTTATATATAATAACAAATTTTTCAGAAAGCATACTTAGTTCTTTAAAATCTCGTTATTATCAAGTTCGATTTATCTCGAACAGTTGGTACCCGAGATACTTTTGTATTCATACATATAAAAAATTACAATAATGCATGTATTTTATTACTATTAAATATATTCCTTCGTAATCACCATTCCATAAGGAAATCATTTTATCTTTTATTTTTGATACGAGATGATTTGTAGTTATGTGTGTGGCAGAACATATCATTTCCTCGCGAATTTTGATATTATATTAAAAATGCAATAATACGTAATTGACGTGCTACCAAAATTATTATATCATAAGTGATCTGAAAGATTCGGAATTTACAATCTCCTGTAACAAAACCGCTGTTTGACGGGTTGCTTTTCTTTATCTTTTCTTTGCGAATGAATTTTGTGAATTTGACGTAGAATTAGAATACATCAGTTCGTTTTCCTATGAAGATTGTTTCTTCTTTACATTCGGATGCTAACCTTATCACAAGGCGAAGGGACTTTGATGTGATCCAGTTATTGAGATAATTATCTTGAACGCGATGAAAATCTTATCGTAAATGTATTAATGACTTTTTATCATGATATTAATAAGTTTTATAATATAATCGCAAATTAATAGTAAGTACGATCTAATTATTATTAGTATTTTCATTCCACATTTCCATATTTCATTAAACATTGGTTTAGAAAATTTGTGTTATCGTATATATTTTCGACATTTTCGTATAATACCTCATTACTAAATTTTGTTAATTATGCTCCTATAATATAATTCTTATTATATTTCGAACATTTTTTATTATACATTGTATTGTAAATAATTATTGTATTATTAAAGGATTACAATAAAAGATAATATTAAAAAATTATGCAATATAATTGTTAATTATTTTATTGTATTTCGCTAATCATAATGCAATATGATTTTAGCGAAATATAATAAAATAATTAAAGAAAAAAAGAGATATAAAATTAAAAAATAAATTTCAAACCTGCAAAAACCGACTAAATTTATTAGTAACTCGTTTTTTTACGGGGGAATACTTACAAAGAAGAGGATCGCCATTAAAAATTGGCGGGGTGGTGGACCAATCACAAGTGATACCCGTATGGCGTCACTCTGATTGTAGGCTCTCTAGTTTAATCGATCTTTTGGCGTCTTTATATCTTATGTGTGATTCTCATGAGTTTAGATGACAATTGGCGGGAATTCTTCACATTTCTGTTCTGGTTCTCTACATATAGGTTAAGTTTTTTTCAAAGGCCCGTTATATCTGTCTAACAGTATTTAGATAATAATATACAAATATTTAATATCTGATCTGTGGTCTCTTGTGAGTAATTTAAATAAAGGCTTAACTGGCAATGGCTGGAACATTATGCGAACGGTATATTTTTATTCAATAGAAAAATATATTTATTCCTGTAATAAGTATATAATATAGGAATAGGTACATTTAGATGTATGTATTCATAATTCGATTATTATTGGTTTTATCAATATAGAGACAGTTCTAAAAGAACGACGTACATTGATTGGGACGAATATTTCATGGCTATTGCATTCCTTTCTGCTAAACGGAGCAAAGACCCTTGCACTCAGGTCGGTGCATGTATCGTTAATAATGACAAGAGAATCGTCGGTATCGGGTACAATGGGATGCCCACAGGATGTAGTGATGATGAGTTCCCTTGGAAAAGGGGTCTCCACACTAGTTTAGAATCGAAATATCTTTATGGTATAATACATATAATAAACCATTTTTTTTACAAATATATGAAAAAATAAATTTCCATAGACAACATGAAGTCTAAATCGGGACATATGACATTTTTTTAGATGATTCTCGCAAAAATGCTTTTAAAATATTTCTAAGACGTCTTATATCCCAATTTTAAACTTTGTCTAGGATTATTTCGTTATCAAAAGCACTAATCAATTTATTGACATTGGGTTGTAGTGTGTCATGCGGAAGTTAATGCGGTTCTAAACAAAAATTCGAGCAATGTTAAAGACTGCACAATATACGTTGCTTTATTTCCATGCAACCAGTGCGCGAAAGTAATAATACAGTCCGGCATAAAAACTGTGATTTACATGTCCGACAAATACGCTCATAAAGTCGAGACTATAGCCGCGAAACGAATGTTTGATGCTACGGGTGTAATATATAGGTATTTATTTTTTGAAATTGCTGCATCAATTTATTATTGCAATAGCAAAGATCTTACGACATATTTTTAATTTCGTTTTAGGCAGTACATCCCAAAGAATCAAAAAATAGAAATTAATTTCAGCGATATTAACTGGACTGAGATGAATCAATTACCGCAAACTCCGACCAAACAAGAAGATTAAGAAATGAGAATTAATATCATTATGGTGATCACTATTGTTGTATCTTACATGAATAAATATCTTAAGAGATTATTAAGTATATATAAAAATATTTATTTAGCAAAAAATAATTAATAAATTAATAAAAATTGAGAGGTACTTTGTTTCTATCATTGTGATAGCAATAAAAAAATTGTTGTCTCTTTTCATATGTTTCTATTCATTTATTTATTTTTTCACTTGACATTTCATAGAGTAAATCCTTTTCAAATAATATTAACCATCAGATAGCACGTGAAAATACAACTTATGATTGTATTGCTGGATATTGATTTTGGTTTTTTGTTTTTTGGAAGTTCAGAGAGACACTAATATTTACATATAAAAGTATTAATTAAGAGTAGGTACAAATGCAGGCAAAGCAAACCTGCCTCTTTCCTCAATCTTCATGTGACAATCCTGTTTTCTAATATTGATTAACCAAGTGATGTGAAAAAAATAAATAAAACAATGTACAGAAAGCAAAACAATTGCAGTAAGACTAAGATAAATTTAAGTATATAACATAACTCTCTGTTTATGCGTGTTATCAGCTGTACAAATGTAAACAGTGACACAATGTTCTTATGGCGTAATAGAAATATGTAACAATGTTTATTTTCTCTTCGAATTAAGCGGAGTAAAGGTAGACCAGTTTTACATGATATAATGTTTCCATAATGATGCAATATAATAATAAAAGGAAACGATTAAACAATAAAGACATTTGATACATATATATATATATGTATATGCGCGTGTGTTAATACGTGTTTTATGTACATACTATACATATTCAAATTCGTTCAATTAAAATGCTATTTCACTTATTACCTCAGTTATGAATATGTGAGGATGTTAGAGACAATGAGCATGATTATACATTGTGGAATTTGAATTCATCACATAGAAGTTATTTTACATATTATAAAAATTGTAGAAAATTGAGATTATAGCATAGAATACTATGTTATAATCATATATTAATATAGTATAAATCAATAAATAAGATTTAGAATGTCGCTTATCGAAATAAAATATTGGCATTACGATTCACATGAATACTCTTTCACTTTTGTTATATATTTGATACGTTAGAGTGAGCAAGTGAATTGTTACAACTATTCACATTAATCATTACAATAATTACATCATCTTTAAAGTAAAATGTTGATAGAAATCTGAAAATTCGTAGATCTTTGTAATTACTGTGAAGTAATATAAAATGCCAAAAATTTTATTATATCATAGTAATGTTCAAATATCATAGTAATGTTCATATCTGTACACAAAATTATTTAATTACATAAGATATTTCTTTAGAATAGAATTATATTAATTCTGTGTGATGAATTCCAATTATATTCAGAAATGGAAGAAGATATGGTTTAGAGAAAAACCCAAGCTAACTTGTCGTGCAATATCGTGTTGGGGATTGAAAGGTGAATCTAGATTCAGTTCTCGATAAATTTGAATGCAACTCGCAATTAGCATTATTTATTTTCTATCTTTTTGATGTCTTTCTATATATACGCGTGATAAAAGTTTTTACATCGAGGTAATAACCTTCGATAAAGATTGGAGCAATTAATATGTGATGAACACATGAAAATTACATACAAAGCTCATTCGTTTTATAGAAAAGATATTCAAATGAAAAGTAAAAAAATTCAACAATATTAGATTCTTCAGTAGATTCTTCAATAATAGGTCATGAAGTCGAATAATTGCTTTTAATAAATTAAATAGAAATATACACAATAATGTAATAGTTCATATTGTTTTAGGAGTCAACTTAAATATTTACCAGTTTCTTCTTTTATCAGCTCTAGAGTAATTTTATCGCAATTAAACAAAAGCGATTATATTAAATTTTTTCTTAATCTCACAATTCTATAATTTTGAGAAAGTATTTCCATACATTTACGGAAGGAATAATAAAAAAAAAATGATTTGAGGACAACCGATCTTACTTTGTTAAATTATTCCATCGACTCATCACTCGTCATTTTGTGATAATATATTTTACGCGGATGATTGGGGAGGTAAATATATATTATAACTAATACAATCAAAAACGTAGATATCTACTATATGTTTATGATTATTGTTATGACGTGTTTGAGTAGGTGATAAACATTCAATATTGATCGGCGGCGAACTCATTTGTCGCTCATTCGAAAGAAAGTCGTAAGACATTATACACTTATTGATATAGTACCTGAAATATGTACAAATATTATTTAATAGCTCGATAGTATCTATGTCATCTCGTATTGAAAAAAATTTTTTTATGGGAAAACTGAAAACTTATAAATATGCAGTTATTTTCGGAATTCAAACGAGGTAATTATAACATCCTTTGACTTGTACCGGTAGGCTTTTAAAAACCTTGTATTTATTAAAATTTCCGCAATCCGTCGATGTACATATGTACGATGATATTCGCTATTAACACACTAACGGCCTTTCGATTTATGATATACTTTGGTAGTTTGCGTATACAAAACGCAGTTTATCGTTCCTATAGTAACTTTCACAGAGACTTTCGCAAACGGACACTACTTCCTTATTGACTTCTCGATGGAATATCAGGGCTCCAATCCAAACGTAGATCATTACCCTGGGCAAAAAACGCAGAAAATAAAATGTGTCTAGAAAGAAAAGCATTAGAATCATTTTGTTCATTGAAATCAACAGTTCACGGATGAGGCGAACCAGAAGTTAGTACACGATGTGGGAACGGAGTCCATCCAAAATGCGACGACGGACATGCACGGTACAGTACTTGGTGCTTCGATGATCATCTAGCGTTTTGCAGCCTCTACATAGTAGAGTATTATGTAGGCATCGCTGGAAATTGTACACCTTAAGTCGAGTAGAAATATTCGCTTTAGAGCGCGCGTATGTATGTATACAAGTCTTGTCTTTTTGTACCAATGTGTTAACTCGCACGTGTTATTTTACACACTGCACGTCCCGTACCACAAAACAGTCCGCACTTTCATCGATTATTCCCCTCCCATCCTCATCCCACCTCTCGTATTTAGCGTCGCTGCTCACGATAAGCGGAACGTGTCAAATTAATCGATTGTTAACTAATATTTAGCTAAGTCGTCCTCTCTTTTTTCTCATTATTTTCCTTCCTGTAAAATTTCTGGACCACGTTCCAGAATCTATAGGCGGTCCGCACCTCGTTGTATTATAATTTATTAGGATTGTTTTATCCAGCATTGTCTCAGCACTGTTCGCACTACGTGAAATATCTCGAAGAACAGTTCGTATGTAACACATGCTTTACTCGATTAATTATCTTGCCAATTTCGTTTCATTTCTTTACCACGGCACCAAAAACGTGATTTTTAACGTCCTCTAACGCAGATCAGAAGAAAGCTTCCGTACCCCGGCTCTCCATGGACTTGTCTAATTACGATAATAGATTCAGTGACGCTGCAATAGCGCGTACCTGGATCAGTTTTTGATTGAATTCTCTTTCTCTTGATGATTGTTGGTTTTCGGTTCGGGCGGCCGAAACGCGGTAGCGAATGGGAATCGCACGTGGCATTTCGTCATGTAATCGGCTATCGTATCGTCACAGTGTCCGAAGTCGCCGTTGCGCAATGCATCAAGCACCTTCGTGCAGTTCTGTAGCGTCACGCCTTCGAGTTCCTCGATGCTTGTCACAAGGAATAGCGCCTTCGTCTGTGCGGACGGGTCCAGAATGTATAACATCCTTGAGCCTTGCAGCAGATGCGGCAATGAATTCCTGTTCTTCTTCAAGTACTCAGCATTTAATTGAGCTGCCTTCGTACTGGAAAAGATTCCGGCGGTCTGACGCTTCACTACCTCGCCTACTGCTCCTTCCAACGGTGACTTACTGGTGTGTAACAGAAAACGGACTAAACACGTATGTAGATCTGGATTATTCATGTCCAACCTATGAGCGCGTTTTATCGAGCGTAGCATGAGAAGAGTACGACCTGTAAGAGAAATAGATATTTATTATCTCGCATCAACTTATTGTTAGTCAGTATATAAAATAATTTTCATCAATTGCAACTTGATTTACGTGTGTGCGCTATTAAATATATTTCTAGTACCTTTCCGAATATATATCTCGAAAGCCATAAGATGCGTCTCTATCCGATTCGACGCTAATTCCTGCAAGGGCTGTAAAAACTTTATCGCTTGTTCTAGTGGATCTTCAACCTGAAAAAATATATTTAATTACTGTTAAAGAAATTATACGAGATATTTAAAAGATCGAGACCTCAGAATATCTCGAAAGATATAAATTTTATAAAAAAATGTTTCAAATAAAAGTTGTAAGATTTAAAAAGATTTATTTACTGATTTTATCAGTTTTACTTTGCATGACGTTACCAAGATCAGAGCAAAAATTTTTTTTAATTTTGTGACTGGTGTATTCTTTTATGTCTTTTATTTAGAGATATTTAAAAAATATTTCAACGCTTTAAATGATAAGGCAAAATAATTTAAAAGACAACATTCTTCTATCATCTCACTGTTTAACTAACCCTTTCCAGTTTTTCCGGAATTAATTCATCTAGTGTAGGCTGCTCAAGATCAGAGTCATTCTGCTGCCGAGATTTGTTATGTTGCTCTCTTTTCTCTTGAGCCTGGGCGGCTTGCTGTCGTTCGAGTTCGGCCTTTCTGCGCTGTTTCCTCTGTTTGTTTCTTAGTTTCTTCAATTCGGATGGCGCCAAATTTTCTGTAACATACAGCAAAAATAAAAACGTCTTTTAATCTTTAACTCATATAAAGATAATCAATATGTATATACATGTATGTAGTAATCTTGCGATCGAAGAGTTCGAAAAAAGCGCGCAGAAAAATCGTTTTGCCCGTTCAACAAATATGATGTAAAATGAATGTTGTTTGCAGTCATATTTGTTATTATTTTAATTTAAACAAAAATGGTTTACAATAACAATGATTAAGCTTCGTGATTCAACAAACGATTACTCAATAGTATCGCATATAAATGTGGCAAGCTGCGTTTTGAATTTTTTTCATTGTTACGCAAGTTTCCCCCCCCCCCCCCGTTTTCTTAAAACGATTGAGACCAGTTTCGACATAATTTCCGCCGCGACTTCCACAAATATCACCATAATCTTTTCGCAGCTCTTACTGACGTACTTGCCAAGGTTGCACGGTACTCTCTGACACGTTGGATAAAACATACAGTCCGGCCGGTTTCGCAGTAATTTTTCCCACTTTTCCTCGCCTTCGTTCGTGGCCAGACCTACTGACAGTTGTTTAGTAGGTCTGGCATGCGTGCACGTGCCTCGCGTGCTCGTTAGTCACGTGCACGCCCGGCGGGTATCGTGGGACGGTGGCAGAAGTAGAAAGGAGCCCTGCCACGTGAATGCTCGTCAAAAACCGTAAATATCTAGAGCGTTCTGCGAAAACGCAGATTAACTGTGGATAATCGCAAGAAATCATACACGCGTCTTGTCAGTAATCGTAAGTAGACGGCAACGTAATGACAGAATACACTAAGAAAAGTCCGAGATATGACGCAGCATCCGATCTGAATCTTTATTAATTCGCTAAATCCTCTTACACCGGGAATAGTCACTTGGGGCATTTTTACTCTTACTAGCGGAGAGAAAATTGTTATAAAATATTGTTTTGTATGGATATTATTTAGTATATTTAGTATATTTTTTCTTCTTTTTAATAACTGTTCTTTACGAATCTTTAAGCGTGCAATTCCATCGAAAACTCGCAATATAAAATCATTATATTAATTACAATTTTTATTGTTTAGAAACAGTAATAAGCTTACGATAGTATTTTTAAACAAAATCCAGCAAGCAAATACTTAATGTATTTGTATACTTCTTTTAATATTCGTTTAATTTTTTTTTCAGAAAATTATGATTAAATCCATATGTATAATATTATTAAATACCAATAAATCGAAAAATGATCAATAATAAATAATATGTTGTTAATAATAGTCATTTTAATTCAAGTTATAAAAACGTCTCAAATGATCGTTCACATAAATAGAAAAAATTATCCTTCCAGGCTTAATTAAACTCTTTTCCACGTAATAAGTACATTAAAATAGATCTCTTGAAAATTATTCTACATTTTCTACGATTCTACATTTCTTAGAAGACTGCTTAGTGAAATCCTTTCGCGTGCAATAAATACGATAAGAATGACTAATGTACCTCATTAAAAATTATAATGTGGTTTAATTCACATAAAACATTCTCTTATTATTAAAAAAATATTTATGAATATTCACATATATTTTTAATATCACAGAATAATATAATTTTCAGAATTTTTTAATAAATTAATATTGGATAAGTTAGTAATCTACAAAATAGAAAAGTTATACTTAGGTAATAACTGTATTTTCGATGTACAATATATTCTAATATTTTTATCGATCAACTGACTTGAAAGATCAGTTGATTAATGAATTTTCGCTACGCAAAAAAGTGGGACATAAAGTTTCGATTGTTGCGCTAATCCCCGAGGTTAGCCTACTCAGTGGGCATCCACTCTTTAATTACCGCCACATTAATTTGGCATTATAGTGCGAAAATCAGCGCTTTCCAATTATGTAAGAACTAGTCAATGCGTTATTAAAACGCGGTAGACCGTTGTGTCCGTTGCTATGCTCTGTAAATTCGCAAGTTGTGTAGGCGTTACCGCAGAGAGGATTCACTCAATTCCTTGAAAAACGAATTCCACCAACGTATTTCTTATATTATATAAGAACTATTTTACGTGTTATTTTGGCGAATGCATACGTTGCAGTCTACGATTTCAAATTATCGATGCATGTCGTCTGCGATATCATTCGTATAATTAATACGTTCATTTGCTACAACAACATAACTTAAAAAATAAAGATTTCCAGGAAATTAATTTCAATTATTAAATCAATTCAATATTTCAATCATTAAAATGTTATAATATTAATTTGAAAATGCAATTTTTGTGTAATAATTGATTGTAGAGAAATAAAAATATCTTTTTTTTTATAAATATTTTCGTTCTTTTTCTGTAATTAAAAATGATAATTTGAATTACGTCGTTATTGTAGTAAATGAGCGATATAAGCAGAAATTATTTTACTTTTTTTTCATATCAATCATATTCTCTTGTGTCATTTCAATATTATTATTGCGGCGTAATTTTCTGACAAAAATGGTAAAATTATCAAAAGATCACGTTCAAACGTGATTCATTATAATTGGTACCAATCCAAGAGGTTCTAGTTGTAATGCTGGGCGACTGCGGAAACTTTCACTATTAATTGGGCATCGGTATGCAAGGATTAGTGACGAGGATTTTTCATCCTTGATAAAGTAAAGGAGGACCTTGAGCGCGTTCAGGAATGTAGAGCAACAGGCGGCACCAACGTGCAAGCTTATGTAAATTGCATCCCTCTACGCACACGTAATTACGTGCGTTAATCCATATCAAATTTGCAACATTGTTGTGTGAATTTAAAAATAATTTTCAACAACACCAAAAAACCAATTATTCTCGTGAATCGATCAGGCCCCCGCGAATCATCGTGATTTCCTTCTGTGAAACACAATGGTCCCGTGCTCTCGGAGGATCATGGCATTCATATGCAAATTACCATGTCGTTTCTCCGATGTTATTCATTCGGTAACTTACGCGTAGCGAATTTCGCAGTAATTTCAGTCATGTTAGAAAGCGCGATGCAGGGCGATGCACTTGGAAATCAGTGGCCGAATTTGCCTCTGATTTATGCGCGACATAATAACGCGTCTTCGGACGGCGCGTTCCGCGAAATTAAATCGTTTCCTTGGTCGCCTTCGAACCGACCGCGCCTTGACGTTGCACCGTTATGTCCCACGAGTGATGTGTTCCCACGCGATTATTGGAACAATTCACGTGAACAATATATATGCGACAGGCCCACAATATATATGCGTAGGCACGTGACAGGTCTAAAAAATGAGAAAAGTTTCTTTTGTTCAGGTCGCAGTTTTCTATATGCAAAAATTCTCAAACTTATAGAAACTCAAAAGACACAGGAATTTGTCAAAAGTAGAGAATCTTTCAAAAATAGTATTTTAAGCTTTAAATCCTTTTTTAAATTTAAATTTCATTTGTTTTTTTAACGAAGTTACAGCTTTGAATTTTGAGATTCTTAACGTTATTTTTATTCCAGCCCAATGGATTAAATTTAATTTCGATTCCATTTACTCTTCAATTTTTCTTAGAACTAGAATTCTTAGAACTAGAAGATAAAGAGTTAGTTGACCGAAATAAAAGTTAAACATTGATGGAAACGGACATTAATTGGAATTCCAATAGATTCAATTTGTATAAAAATACAAATCAAACACTTATAGTTAAATTTATTGAATATTCTACTTAAGATAATCAGAAATTCAATTACGATAATCAGAATTTTAATTACTATGAATAGAATGCATTTTATACCTCTTGTTGATACAATTAGAATATTTTTCTCACGATCAGTGTAACATTCTCTTAAATAACACGTTTAAAAATAATAAAACACAGCTCTAATTTGTTATCAAATAGAAATAATCCTTACTTTGAGAAAAACATTTCGCGGGAAACATTTAACTCATTTATATGTAATAACGCGTTACAAACATCGATGATTTTCCTACGGCACCCACAGAGTGATTTATGTAATCCATTGCAACCTTCCCAATGCGTTGCAACTTAGCCCATATCCCGTCGTGCCGTGATGAATGGATCGTGCTGAATTCATATCTATCTGGAATATATTCGCGCGGCATGCGAATTATACATTTTTCATCATCTATGCATCGAATAGCTCTAATCCGCCGTGGAGGCCGCGTGCAGGAATATCGCCTATTTTTTTCTGTTTACAGCGATCCATGATCCACGCAGTTATTATCATCTCGCGTGTGGGCGAGATGAATCGCTGACATGTTTTAACAGAAGCATGATTTCTGAGCCGAGGTCGCGTTCGACGCGAGAGATGTACGACTTCGTGTGCAACAAGTTCAGTCGGATTTACCGCGTAAAATAATCGCGATTATGCAAGGGTTGCAGAAATTGCGGGGGCGGCGAGGACGGCACGCGGGAAAGGATGCCACGCTTCAAACGCCCCGTCATTAGAATGCAAAGTCAAAGAAAAGGCACGCGAGTTACGTCTGTCACTGTTCTCTTGATTGAGCACGCAGGAAACTCGGAGATTTTAATTTCGCAAAGTAAGTTCTTCCTCGCGCCTCTCTTGCGAAGAAGGCCTTCCTTTCGCGACGTGTCTTAGGCGTCATTGAATTAGAATGATTCACTTAAAACGCAGCAATGATTCTGCGACAAACGCAATGAAGAGAAAATCAACGAAGCAATTACGCTAACGTAATCGCTACTCTTGTTAATCCTATTTTGTTGTGTTATGTTATCTTGTTGTATTATGCTAAAAAATTAACGTTTGCAAGTATATAATGTGTTAATGAATTATAGGACTATATAATACAAAAAATTATACAAAAAATAATATACAAATATAATGAGATACGCAATATTGGTAAAATGATCGAAATTAATTCAATTTTTTTTTATATCAATTCTCGATACTTATGAATTAATTGTGAAAGCTTCTCACTGTAATGTGCTCTTGAATTGTGACGTCAAAAGCGAGAAAAATATATTTAAAAAATTCTTACAAGTATATAAAAATATAAGTATTTTAATAAAACA